GTTTTAGCCAATGGCCATCGGTTACAAGCTCATGGACTGGCCTTGACTCTGTCTGGCTAGGGATCGCAGCACTTCTCCGTAAGCGAGTACGCACTCACTCCCCAAACCCAACTCACCAGCCCTGTTCCAGCACCTTTTCAGCTATTTGGACTTTGGAGCCCCTGAAGGGTGTTATCCTCAAGTTATAGGAAAGGAAAAGTGGACCTAGGGGCAAGGCCCCCGTTAATGGCAGATGTGAGCCCCACCCAGAGCCCTGCTGCCGGGATTCCTCACCTCATTCTCCTGTTAATGAGCCCCTGTCGGTACAGTGATACTTTGTCACTGGTCTTATGCTATAGTTGGGAGTGCTGTCATCTCCCTGGTGACGTCATAAGCTCTTTAAAGGTCAGGACCATGATCACGGTCGCTCGCTTCTCCCAGCTTCTAGGTCTGCTCGTCTATACAGTGCCACACGGCACCAACGTCAGCTACACTCTGTGTTTATAACGAAGCCTGACATTTAAAATCTGAACCTAGCAAAACGTAACTAAGGGATGATTAGTCACATTACCAAGAGCTTATTTTCTTTTAGGGAAAAAGGCAAATTCAATTCCTCTCCATAAAAGCCCTAAATGGCTTGTAATATCTATTCCGGTATCGCTGGTGACTTAACAGAGCACATCACATCTGAAGAGTGGTACTCACCAGGTGAGGCATCAGGAGGTCAGCCACGTAGACGAATGCGGCTCCGAGGGTGAAGCCGACAGCCACAGGGAAGAAGGCAAAGGCACCAAAGCCCCCAGAGGACGTGGCCATCTCAACCGCCGGGGCCAGGAGAGACCAATAGGATGCCGCTAACATGACCTGCAAAACCCCAAGGAGCGACAAACCATTAACCAACCACAGAAGGCCTTCCAGTGGGGACTGCAGTTGCTCTCTAGGGCCCAAACAGAACCCAACAATTTCACACGTGTTAGGCCTTTAATTCTCGGTGGCAGGGACTATCCCAAACCAAAATGCCCCTGTTGGAATTCCGGGAAACCAATGTTGTAGGAACTCAGTTTGGGGTAGAAGGGGTTGACCTTGAGAGGATGGAGTCTAGTTTGCTGTCATCTAGCCTCTGTTTCAGTGGTTCTCAACCAGGGGCGATTGTGCCGTGCACAGGACATTTGAAGACATTTTTGGCTGCCACACTAGGAGCATCTAGTGACTAGAGGCCAGAGAAGCTGATAAACAACCTACAATGCACAGCCCCTGAAAACAGAGAATTATGTGGCCCCAAATGTCAATAACGCTGTTGAGAAATCCTGTTCGAACTGAATACTTCCAGGACACACTGCTCACTCCTTCATGAGCACCACTGCATTAGAAGACAGCTCTAATTATTACAAAGGCCTTCCTTATGTTGAGCTGAAATCTCTCTCCCTTCCTTTTTTACCTATTAGCTCTAGGTCTGCTCTCTGGAGCACCAAATAATGAGTCTCTCCTCGGTGATAGGTGACAGACAGACAGCCTTTGAAACATTTGAGGACAACCAGGGAGTCGATGTCAGCTTGAACTTGTCAATTTTCTTATCTCAAAAGAGGAAAAAGGGGACTAATATTTATTGATCACCCGCTATTTCCAGGGAGCAAGCTTCGCTTCGGATATCTTCTTTTTTATCATCATGACAACCCTGGGAGGCAGATACTGCTTTCTATTGCTATTTGTAGGTAAAGAAATTGGATCTCAAAGTAATAAGATAATTCGCTCCAGGTCACACAGCCACTAAGTAGCAGATCCAGGGAACTGAGCAAGCCGGACCGTTATCACCTCGTGAGGGGAAAAATACAAGCAAAAGAGAAAAACTGAAGCTGGTCCCGAATCTCAGGGAGGTCAAGTCAACGAAGGATTCTCCAGTGTGTACCAGATTAAACACTCGCACGCAGTCACTTACTCTTAAGGATGCAGCAACGTCTTCTTGGCTGAGTACACCCACGACCCATCGTAACCATATGACAGTCATCGCTGACACGTAAAGTGTTGAATGGGTTTCTAAAAATGACTTAGTTATTCCTTGTCTTAAAAAACACGTCTGCATCATCCATCTCCAAAATAACAGGGTGACAGAACCAAGGATGACAAAAGTAACAATAAAGGGCAGATCCATGCAGAAAGCGACTTCCCTTCTGCCAGCCAGCATCTACACACAGCCAGTTGCTCTGAGCTAGGTCCTCCCAGCAAAAGTCTTCGTGCCACTTACTGAAAACCGCAGATGCCTCAGAAACTCCCAAAAAGAATGAAAATGTCTCATCAGTTCAGCTCCATGAGACCATCGAAGGAAGCGGTGGGCTCCTGCTCTGTGCCGTGGCCTAATCCATCCCTTTCCCGGGCTGTTGTCGCACTACCTTTAGAATTCAACAGCCCTTGGCAGCTGCCATTCATGGACAACTCCCAAAGGAGGAGGGTTTTGCACAGGAGCACAGAGCTATCCAGAAACCTCTCTCCTCTCATGTTTCAGGGCCTCCCATACTCCCACCATCGCCAGCTCCAAAGCCACATGACCCAGGTAAGGCCACTCATCTCATCCTCCAATCCCTCCCCACACCCCATCTTTGCCAGTGTCACCTGGGGCACTTCCTCAGCCTCAGCTCCCTACCCACTTCTCAACACAACGTCCAGCCTCTTCTGCCCAAGCCCCTTTCCATCCCTCTGCATCGCTGGGTGCCTACCTTTTTGCTGCCCCTACAACGTGAGAAACACACCATGTTCTCATGGGCAAGCGATGTGAGGTGGTGCAGAAGAAGCTGTGCCCCTCAAGGGAGGGTTTGCCAGAAGCTGGGGTGCTTGAAATGGAAAAGCACCCCAGGTGATTCAGGTGGGCCCTTCCCTGACAATCACCGTTCTTCATCCTTCCAGTCAAGCCCAGGACCCAACTGGATTCTCTTCATTTCTTTTCCTCAACAGCCTCCCTGCTTTTCACATAAACTGGAAAATCACCAAAGAACAATCTTGAAAGGGAACTGGGTTGCCTGTCTGAAATAACAGTAGGGCCCAGAGGAAAAATACGTTAATACACCATGATCATACAAAGTCCACAGTTTGTACTNAGGCCACTCCACAGAGACATCCTGGGGTAACAGCCAGGGTTGAGGTGGCTGTAGAGAGTGTCATGGACCAAAGTGAGGGCAAGGAAGGCTTGAGTCATCTAAGACTTGGGACAACAGTTGGAGATGTCACCGTCTTAGTTCGGGCTGCCACAGCAAAAACCACACACTGCGCGGCTTAAACAACAGACATGTATTTCTCACAGTCCTGGAGGTTGAGTCCCAGAGCAGGTTGCCAGCATGGTCAGGCTCTGGGGAGGGCCCTTGTGATGTTGTGACTTATAAGAAATAGGTATTCGAGGGCCAGCCGAGGGGCTCAGTTGGTTAAGAGCTCGCTCACGAGTTTGAGCTCTGAGCGGTTCGATGCCCGGCACGAGCTGAGCAGTTGCTGAGCTGCCAACAGGTGGCAGGATGGCTCAGCTTAAAAAAAAAAAGAAAAGAAATAGGTATTTGGTCTTCATCCCCGTTTCTGGCACAGACCTCTTAAAATCCTTGAACTTTCCTAAGTGGTAAGAGCAATAAAGATGTCTTTCTGTTCATGACAACACCCTTTCCATCACACCTGAGGTCATGTTAATAAGGTGGCCTTTGGAAAACACCTAAGGATGGGGGCAGGTTGTCAGGGGAACAAACCATGTGACTAGAGGGTTGGAACTTTCAGCCCGACCTTCACCTTGGTTCAGTCAATTACCAATGGCCAATGATTTCATCAAGCATGCCAATGTAACGAAGCCTCCATAAATCCCAGATCAAAAGGACACAGATCAGAGAGCTTCTGGGTTGGTGAACACATGGAGATTTGGGGAGGGTGGGACACTGGGAGAGAGCACGGAAGCTCTCTCCTTTCCCCACACCTCACCCTCTGCATCTCTTCCATCTGGCTGTTCCTGAGTTACATCCTTTTATAATAAACTGATCATCTAGTAAATAAACTGTTTGCCTGAGTTCTGTGAGCTGCTTTACTGAATTAATCAAACCAAAGGAGGGGGGTGTGGAACCTCTGATCTGTAGCTGGTAGGTCAGAAGCACAGGTGACAACCTGGACTTGGGGTTGACATCTGACGTGGGGGAGGACAGTCTTGTAGGCTGGAGCCCTGAGCCTGTGGGATCTGATGCTGTCTCAAGGTAGACAATGTCAGAACGGAGGTGAGTTGTACAACACTCAACTGGTGTCTGGGAATTGCTTGGTGGTATGGAAAAAACACACACAACACAGCCTCTTCCTGGCTTGTAGATGCTGCCTTCTGTCTGTGTCCTGACATGGGAGGGAGAAAGGGAAGGTGGGGGGAGAGGGAGGGATCCTTATAAGGGCACTAATCCCACCATGAGAGCCCCACCCATGTGACCGCATCTAAACCTAATCACCTCCCAAAGGCCTCACCTCCAAATACCATCACACTAGGGGTTAGAGCTTCAACACATGAATGGGGGAGTGGGGTGCACAACTCAGTCCACAGCAACAAGCCAGGTGGACAGCCTACGAGCAACCTGTTATGCGAGTGAAGTGCATCTAGTTATTTAAAGTTAAGGCACCAGATACCTGAAGGTGTCCACCTCACCTGGTCCAATCATGCTGGTCTCTGAGCAACCAGCTGATCGTTCTGACTTTGAACAATCCCCCTGAGAGAAAGACACCCCAGGAGAAGTGGCAAAGACAGAGTGTGGCCCTAATGGGAGAGATAGAAAGAAGGGCGCCGCCTGCTTATGGGATGTCCAAACAGCCCGCGAGAAGACATCGCCGTCTAGAGCCCAGAGGCAAGACATCACAGAGGCCCTCCTCTGGTGAAGGTCACAGCCATATAAAACACATAGACACACACACACACACACACACACACACACACACACACACACACACACACACACGGTTTATTAAACCTGAATCCACAACTTGTGAAAATAAGGAACACGTTTAAAGAGTTGTCCCCTGCAACTTCCACATTTCCTGGTATAAGGGAACTGACACTGATTAGACACCTGCTGCATGCCTGCCAGCCTACGTGTCAGGGACTCCATGTGCATTATTTTAGTTAATCTTCATGGCCACTTTCTCAGGGAGGACGATACCATGTTATAGATAAGGACACTGAGGTTCAGAGAGATTACAGAACTGCCCAAAACACACAGTCCTATGAATCCAGGGCAGTTTGATCCAAAGACCATGCTTGTTCCACTATGACACGTTGCTGCTAAATAAGCTTTATCCAAACCCAGAACGTCGACTTGGGTGGGGAGCATGGGAGTGTTAGAAAGAAGGCAGATATGATTCATATAATGACATACTATTACATGATGCCATCACGGAACGTTATATACCATCATATAATATACCACAATGTGATTATCACTATATAACATAAGCGACCCACCTCTACCCCCAACGGTGATGTGGAACCATCACTCTCTCAGCAAGTAAAGCCAGCACTGGCTTGCACTGCCCCAGGCTCATCACCTACCACGTCTGCCGTTGACTCAGAGGGACGTTGAGCCTCATCAACGAGCCAGTCTCCCTGGACTCCCCCAACTGCCACTTGTCTGCCATACGGAAACCTGATGTGCAAACGGCTTCTAGCAAAATGGGGAGACGTGAGCAGAGTCAGGATCAGGGCGTCAGACAGAGCAGGCGGTTGCTTCCATTAAGCTGTCAGGAGAATAAGGGAAGGAGGAAGGCGGCAGTGACGGTGAAAACGCACCAAGAGGAACCCGGAGCCCCTCTGATAAAGGAAGAGACGGACACACACTCACCCACACGTCACACTTCGCTCTTACAGAGAACAG